CGTGCTCCTGGCGTGGAGGGGCTTTGCGGGTGGCAAACCTCTGACAGTAAAACCACGCGGGGGGGTGTCGGGGCTGTTGCCCCGCGTTGGCCCTTGGTGGCCTGAGGGTGCCGCTGGGCCGAGCCGGCCGTTGGCGCCTCCTGAAGGGTCCCTGTGCTGTCGGGGCACCCCAGCGGCCGCAGCCCGGCCCGGGCCTGGGGGGTGCGCTGGGGAAGTCGCCCCCACCTTCGCGGGGAGCAGGGCTGGGGGGTGCTGGCCCTATAGTGGTGTAAGGAAAAGCTGGTGTTGGTTTTCTCCCCGCCCGAGCTCTGCCCTCAGGAGGGCTGTTGGTGTTGTCCCTCCTACAGCTTCACACCGGGGTGGGCTGCTTGGGAGGGGGGGTTTGGGGGCAGAAACCAGCCTCTCTGCATCTGGGGGTCCGTGCGTGTCCCGAGGCCTCTCCCCCGGGGCCGAGGGTGTCCAGGAACCTCTGGTCCTGCCTCGCTCTGGCCGTGCTGGTGCGAGGGGTGGGCGTCCTCTCCCAGGTGGGGCGCGGGGAGCGCGGCACCCGAGCACACGCAGCCCCCCCGTGCCCCCGCTCCAGCACCAGCCTCTCAGCTCAAACCATTCTTGCAAAAACATCATCTGAAACAACTTTTGTCTCTCCTCCATCGCTCCCATCCCGCCAGAAGAATCGAGGTCTGACGGCTTCCGGATTTTTCTCTTCCTGTATTAAACATCAAACCCGTTTTTAAAGGAGCTGTTGTACAGATCAAAACTTCGTATCGCGGCACACAGCTGTGCAGCATATGGGAGATGGGTCAGAATAAACACATCGTGCCGCAGAAGGTATTTCGTACTACAGTTTCCTAAATAATGAAGATAATTCTGGCTGTTGTGTATTGGACCGTACAATTATGATTCAAGCTTGGCTTTGGCAGATATTAAAAAAAAAAACCCACCCAACCCATATCTGTTTTCTAACAATATACTGTGAGCGTTTCTCACAGGGATTTAAGAGACTGACAGTGGAAGGAAATGGAGTTCTGTTAGGAAGACAAATCGATGTGATCTAGTGCCCCTTCTGTCGTGGTTTTGCAGTTCCCTTATCAGTGTGCCAGTTCTGCGAGTGTGGGACTGGAGGATTCGCGGGCGCCGCAGCCCCTACACAGCTCGATGCCGGGGGGGCCCTGGCAAGAGGAATTCCGTGTTTCTGGTCTGTTGAAAACGTGCTCTTGCGTTTCGTAAAAGAGGGAAATTAATCCCTTCCGCGCTCTCCTTTGAGTCCTTCTGTACAGAAGCGATTTTGTATTTTGCAGCCGAATATTCAAGTATTCAAAGAGATGGAGATGTGAAAATGAACTGCGATAAAACCGGCCGATATCAAACCGCAGTCCCTGCTGG